CTTGGCTGTTGTAAATAGTGCTGCTATGAACATTAGGGGGCATGCATCCTTTTGAACTGGAGTTTCCTTTGGATATATGCCCAGGAGTGGGATTGCTGGATCATATGGTAAGTCTATTTTTAGGTTTTTAAGGAATCTCCGTACTGTTTTCCACAGTGGCTGCACCAAACTGCATTCCCACCAGCAGTGTAGGAGGGTCCCCTTTTCTCCACACCCTCTCCAGCATTTGTCATTTGTGGACTTTTTAATGATGACCATTTTGACCAGTGTGACGTGATACCTCACTGTAGTTTTGATTTGCATTCCTCTGATAATTAGTGATATTGAGCATTTTTTAATGGGCCTACTGACCATCCATATGTTTTCTTTGGAGAAATGTCTCTGTAGGTCTTCTGCCCATTTTTTTTTATTGGGTTGTTCTTTTTTTTGTTGTTGAGTTGTATGAGCTGTTTGTATATTCTGGTGATTAAGCCCTTGTCAGTTGCATCATTGGCACGTATTTTCTCTCATTCCGTAGGTTGTGTAATATTTGTTTGTTTATATGCAGCCTTGTTCTCATCATGTCATATTTCCTTGAGGACACATCAAGTTCATCCAGGTTGACCTTTATGGATTAACAAGTTTCCCTTAGTACATACTTACCATCAGACCTGACAGTTTATCTCATACTCAGATCCACTTTTAAATTGATTATGACTAACCAATTCCAGAGCAGTGAATTTCTGAACTTATCCCAGAATTTGGCCTGGACACCTTTCTACACCACTGTGAGAACTCAGTCCATGAGCGAGATTAAAAGCTGCCATTCAATCTAGCCAGTGATTACTTCTTGAGGCATGTGTGACTAATTGCAGGCATTTATTACACGCTTAGTTGCCTAGATGGTATGTCCTAAAGCTAGAGCCTTTTAAAGTGTTGTTTTCTTGACATTTGATTGTTCATTCAAAGCCTTTGCACATCTTTCATCAGTGGGGTGTGAATAAAGAATGAGGTTTCTTCAGATGGGTCTGGAGCAGTGGTAGGTATTACAGACAAGCTCAAGACAGGAAGGGAAGAAGCTCAAAAACACAATGCAATTGGATCTCAGCTGTGTGTGTTTTTGATTTTCCAGTATCATTAAATGAAAAGGCAAGGATTGCAGAGACTCACGCCCTGCGACTGGACATGACATTTGGTTTCAGTTAGTCAGCACAGAATATCTGCCTCTTATGCTTGCCATTTCAGAAGCGCTGTGAGCACTTCTCATCCCTGGGTCTAAAAGGCTACAGCTGGGCACACAGATTGTACCCCAGCTGCATGCATCCAACTCCATCTTCTCTACCACCCACACCATGTACGCTTTAGTCAAGATTCTGTCCCAGAGCAGCCTTTCAGAAGAAGAAGGAATTGTTTTTGTCATCTGCCCAGTGGAGCAGGCCAGCCGGCTGCGTGAGGTAGACAGGGTGTTCCACCTCTTTTCTCTCGGGAGTGATCCTGAGTCCTCACATGTCCCGGGACAAACATGCCTCAGAGAACAAGCACTGTGCTGTGAGCCAGGCAGCATCGCTGGAAACTCTGCCAGAAATCAGTGCGGGCCTCAGTGAACCCTGCACCAGTGCTCCAAGCCTAGGATCCCCGGAACTGACAGCTGCAAAATTCCTGAGGCTCACAACCTCAGTACATCCAAACCAAGAATAAGGACCCACCTCTCTGAACTCCTTCTCTCTGCTTCCTATCCCAGTCGCTGGCGCCGTCCATCCATCCAGAAACGTGGAAAGCTTTCTTGACTGTCTCTTCCCCTCACCCCCAAAGCGACCTCTCTGCAACTCAACCATCGGCCCTCTGACTTTTCTCAAATCTATCCATCTCTCTCCATCTCAACCCCACCACCTATCTCTCCCTCCTGAAGAACTCTGACACCTTCCCAACTGGTCAGACACATCCACTACCGCTCCACCCACTCTCCACCCTGGTCCATGGTCGTCATTTTCTGAAACACAGTTCTCACTGCCCTGATGGAAGCCCTTCAGCAATCTCCCACTTATCTCAGGACAGAGATCGACCCCAGGTTCGCTGTGGTCCAGCCTCTGCTCATGACTCTGGCTTCATCTGGGGTCATACAGCATCCCCCAAATCTTGACAACCCAGCTCTGCTGGCTTTCCTCTCATCCACTGTCCCTCTTCCCACAGGACATTTGTACCTTCTCTTCCCTTTGCCTGCAATGGGACCATCCCAACAGCATCCTCCTTTTTTTTTTTTTAATTGTGGTAAGATATACATAACATAAAATTTGCCATTTCAACCATTTTAGGTATACAGTTCAGTAGCATTACACTTTCACATTGTTGTGCAAAAAAAAAAAAAAGGAAACACTTCCCAAATTTGCATGTCATCCTTACACAAGGGGCATACTGGTCTTCTCTGTATTGTTCCAATTTTAATCTATGTGCTGCTGAAGTGAGCACCCTTCCCCTTTTGATGATAAAGTCTGACTTATCCTGCAGATCTTAGCTTAAAAGTTATTCATTCAGGGCAACTTTTCGGGACCAGACCTGGCACAAGTCACGCATTCCCTTGGCTGCACGGCACTCAGCATGCAACAAACCTATGCATGTTTCATTGGTGTCTGCTCTCTCTCACTAGACTGTGAGCTCCCTGAGGGCAGTGCTCAGGGCTGAGAGGTGTGCTGGGAACACAGTGGGAGCTCAGGGTGTCCTACTTAAATGAATGAACAAAGAAATGCAAGTCCACCTCCAGGACAGAGCATCTTTGACATTATTATAGAAAACTACGTAGTTCTGCATCGTTTTGAACTCCATTCCAGAGCAGCATCTTGACTTCATCTTTGGAAAACTAAAATCAATAATGAGGGGTACTTTTTTCCTTTTCTCAAATAGAAGAATTATTAATTTAGACTTTATCTCTTAAAAGAGGAAAACATCTGATGGTCTTTAAATCATAGATTTTTTTTTGATTCTATTCATCAGGTTTTCAAAACTATTGAATCTAGACTCAGATCTCTGAAGAAGTTTGTAATTTCCAAAAACTAATGTAAAGTAGAGTTTTTTTATTGCCTACACCTGCAAGACATCCAGTCTGCTGCTGCCGCACGGCATCTGCAGAGAAGCCCTCATCACTCATTTGGGCTGACAGTGGGGTCTGGAGATGGCATTCCCTGGAACCTGAGGTGTGTCAGCACCCACAACCATCATGGAGAACTTCTCACACCTGACTCCAAGAAGCTCTCCTATGGGCCAGGTTGGGGAACACAGCCGGCTGGTGTTGTGGGCGGTAAAAGAATTTACAGAGACAAAGGCAAATGTAAGAAACGAAGGAAATGTTTAGCAGATATGCTGCTGCTACAGTCAACAGCGGGCCACACAGATGGGAGGTGACCGTGTGAGTGCTCCAAGGGTGAACGTGCAGGGTCTTTTATCGTTGAAGGGGCTGTGCACACAAAGGGATGGGGAAACAGATTTTTGATTGGCTATAAGTGAGGCAAGGGGCTTTGGTATATGGGAGGGTGGCTGGATTTATGACTCCAATAAAAAGGAAACGTGAGCTGAGACAAGTCAGCCTGAGCTTTTGTGAGGTTAGCCATTTCCCAGGGCTGCTAATTCTGCCAGGACAAACCCACATCAGAAAAGGCTGTACTTGGTCTTTTTGAAGGATTGCAGGCGGACATCTGAGAGCCCAGGAATGGGGCTTGCAGGGCTTCAGTGGGCACCAGTTGGCACCGCAGTCCAGACCGGGTAGATTTGGGATTTCATAGGACCAAGGACACCAACCCTGCATTCCAGCAAGAGCAGCTGACATCCACATGACCCTTCACACTTTATGGGTTATTCATAACACCGGGAGCTCTTGGGGAGCAGCAGCACCACCACCGAGAGCATCCCAGCTTTACAAATGGGGGTGGGGGGGACGCTCAGTGGTCAGGCAGCTGGCCCAGCATATCACAGCCAGGAACCAGGCTAGATCTGGCACCTGGTTTGATGCCTAAACCCTTGCTTTTTTTAAATCCACTTTGATCAATATGTCATTTTTAGAGGCAACTTCTAGTATAACAGCACCCTAGAAATGATATAAATAAAGACCGTCTGGTCACTTTGCATCATGAGTAAAGCTATTGGAAAGTAGAATGAAATGTGACCCATGATGATAAGGCCCTTTAATGTGCTTGAACTCTCGCCACTTAATTGCACACTCTGTTCTTATTCAATAAGTGTGTTTTCACTCACGTGCTGATCAAAAGTCTGGAGGTATCACGTGACGATCAAGACTGCTTGGTAATGCAGTGGCCCCATGAGCCATCCCCAGGCTCTGGCTCCACTGTAGAGTATGTCCTTATGCAGACACCATCTTGGAGCTGGTTCCTGTCCTGGCATCCTGCAAAGTTTCACTTAATCTTGGGGGAAAAGCTAGGATGCCTTCTGCCTCCAAGCACAGCCTCTGGTAGACTGGGTCCCTTGGGCTTCCTCTAAATCCTGCCTGTCTCCACCCTCTTCACAGAGAACACGGTGAAGAACACACTAATCTCTTGGATCAAAGTGAGAACAAAATGCATAAAGCCCCCATGCAGGACCAGAGCGTGCTTAGATAACCCTGTGCGCTCTTGGCTGAGGAGGTGATGAAAAGGCGAGAGGCGCCTGTCATGAGGTCATGGACCAAAGCCTTCTGACACCTGTCCCCTCGCCACCACCACTCCTGTCCATACTTGGCCCCACTGAGCCAAAGGTTCCAGTGACCAAAAATGTCCCTTAGTCTGGCATTTCCTATCTCCCTGTGTTTCCTTTTATCATCTCTACGAATCTGCCTTTCATCACCTCTGCTGCATGTTCCCCTCAGCGCCCCATGACCCTCACCTCCTCTCCCCTTGGCCGCAGCTCATTTCTTTCCATGTCAACCAACAAAACTCCATCTGGAGCAGAATGCAGGTAACTTAGCTTGATTCACACAGCAATGTAGTCACACATCCCCCCAAATTTTATTATCTACTTACATCTTTCCAAAGCTCCTTTGTTTCAAAAGAGATCTTTCCAGGGTTCCTTCATCTCTTTCTACAGTGGTCTCATCTTCCAACTGCTTCTAAAAGGACTTCAGATTGTCTGGGGACAGAAGGAAAAGGTTTTATATTGTTTTCATGATTTTTAAATCAACATTATTATTATCATCATTTAGCATTGACTTCCACTCTGATCCTGACAAATTTCTCTCTCTTAACATAAGAACCTTCTGCTTCTGTATTTTTTGAAATTAATAGCTTTATTGTTGAATCTTAACTTTGTCAGCTTGAAAAGTATTTCCACTGATGTCTGCATTTTATTATCCATAGCTGCTCATTCCCCACCCCACCCCCAGGTGTTTTTCTAACATACGAGCTTCACACAAGGACACACTGTGTGCAAAATGCATGAAGAATGTGCCTGTGGTCAGGGATGACAACCCAGAGGCACAGGAGGGCCCTGAGTGTTCAAGTATTTATTCTTGTCCCTCAACATTTCCTTACTTTTTCAGAGAAAATTGATGCTCTGAGAAAGCCACTAGCTGTTATAGAGAAATACTGGTTTTTTAAGGGGAAAGTCTTACATTTCCATAATCAGGTGTTTACTTACCAGCACTTATGGTTTAAATCATTTTACTCTTACAATCATTCATGACTGTATTTTGCAATCACGTATAGAAAGGAAAGGCTAGAAAAGTGGCATTGGACAAGAACAGGACATTGATTTGGAAACACGTGTGAGTGAATATATTGCCAGCCATATCAGTAAACAGATAATGCTGGGACCATCAAGTCATCAGGGGCTACCGCCACCCCCCTGACAGTGAGCAGAGAGAACTCAGGATGCAGACAAGCAGGCGTCCCGGCCTCTGCAGCCACCCCCAGCGGTGCCCCCTGAGGGAGCTCAGGACGGGAAAGAACAGGGTACTGGCCCTAGACAGCCGGGTGCACATCAAAGGGATGATTTCAGCGAGCCCAGACCTGCACACCCTCCCATACATAGAAAAGCGCCAATTTCCTTAACTTGAGATGTCTGGTTTCCTTTAACTGACAGTAATATTTTGATGTGGTCTTTGTTGCAAAAACTCATGGATCCTGGCTTCTACCTTGCCACTTTAGAACAGCCTCTCCGAGTGATCTGAGAGCTCGTGTCCTGGGACTGAGTCCTCAGAAAGTCCGCCAAATAAGACATAACTCTCAACTTTTAGGTTGTGCATTTTATTCAGTCAACACACGTGTGTAGCTTTCCTTCTGTAAACCCTGAAAGGGTTGATCTGAAAGAGAAGCCCTTGAGCGGCAGAGCATGGCGGTGTTTTGGAAATTACATTCCTCTTAGTGTTCTGAGTATTAAGCAAAAAGGAGGGTTACTGGAGGTGTCTGTGTGTGATCACTCAGCACGTGTAGGAGGATTTGTGTCTTGTAGCAATAAAAAAAGTCATTCTGAAATCTGAAGATGCCCTGGGAGAATAGGTGGCCAACTGGGGAGGTCACTGTGGTAATGGGTACACCATCTTCACCAGACATTCATCTTTGGGTGACTTCAGAAGTATAAACAAGAATCACCATATTGTACACCTGTAACATACAATATTATACATCAACTATACTTCAATAAAAATGTGGTACTAAAAGAAGCATAAACAAGAAGATGGTTCATAGGGACTTGAAATCTAGTTTAGAAAAACAAAATTGGTAGAATGAGACCAACATGCAACTGGTCAGATGCTGAGAACTGTTCTCCTTCCTGTTCTTTCTGACACTGTCACTTGGACAAGAAGGGTCCTCAGCCTTTGTGTTTAGGTTGGCTTCTATGGAAAAAATTCCCCAGAGAGTAACTTTATTATGATTCTTTCATTCTTACTCAGCAGGTTGTCCCAACATCACCCACCATAGCTATAGAAAACCTCTCCAGAATACGCAAAAACTGTATTCACTAGCAATCCCAAAGTAGGAAGGGACAAATTTCTAGTTAATTAACAACATAGTATGGCTTGGATTTTTTTGTTTTGTTTTCAGGCCTGAATATGTTTTAATTTAAGTAATGCCGTATGCACGGCACTCCAAACTGGTGTTTCAGATTAGAATACAAGATATGAAGAACCACAGACATTCTAACCATTTACTGTCATGGAGCATCATACTGAAACATAACCAATGTTCCTGAAGACAGATATTATCTATTGATGTGTAAGAAATTACCCTAAAATTTCCTGTCTTAAAACAATAGACATTTATTATCTCTTCCAGTTTTTGTGGGGCAAGGATTTAGGAACAGCTCAACTAAGTGGTTCTGGCTCCCGGTCTCTCACAAAGTTACAGTCAAAATGCAGATGAAGGCTGCCAGGATCTGATGGCTGGATGAGCTGGAGGACCTATAGGCATATCGGCCAATTCACACGGCTGGCCAGCTGTTGGTACCAAGCTTCAATTCTCTGCCACGTGTGCTTCCCTGCAAGGCTG